TCCTCGCTGTACACAGCTCCAGTTTGGGCATCGGCCTGTCATCGGATTGTATTTGTTGTTGCTGCTGTAGCGGAAGTTTAGTACAATTATTTGTTGATTAAATACTCCAAATCTCCACCCTCCATAATTGCACTTGCTTCAGTTGCTTGCTACTTTCTAACGGCGGTGAGAGTGGTGCAGTGACGCTATCTATCTTCTATCGATTAGATTTATGATTAGAAAATTATAAAAGTAAGGTAGACATTGCATTTATCTAACAGGTTCGTTTTCCACTGACCTTATTTCGAGCTATTTTCCTAAATCCTATGGAGAAATCCCGTTGCTTTTATGTCGAGGGAAACATGAGGGAAACCGAGCGCAGCTTACTTCCGGATTTTAGGACGCGTCACTGCAACACTAAATTGATGCGATTTGATTGGATTGTGAGGCAAGGGAAGCCAGCCGCCTTTGGCTTTCCTTGGCATGGTCCTGACCAATCACAGGTTGGCAGGGGCATCACGTGCAGAGTTGTGGCATGACCACCCAAACAGAAAGATATGGACACAAGATGTGTGAAAAAGTATTTAGACTCCTATCCATGTGAACATGATTTAAGTGGGGGGGACCTAACCTCCTCTAGTGGGGTCCGGGGGGCATGCTCCCCCGGGAAGATTTTTTTTAAATGTTGAAGTTAAAAGCATCAATCTGGTGCACTTTGAGAGCAACATTAGTAGATCTATGGATACATCTCTCAACACCCATATGAAACAGAACTGTAAGCAAATGTTCTTTTTCTTTATGGATATTTTACAAATCACTCCCCTTTCAAACTGTATTCTTGTTTATAATAACAACTTTTTTTTACTGTCATATAGTATTTTATACCTGTTTACTTTATTCTCTTATTTCTTTATAACTATAATGATCATATAAAGATGTGCCTTTACCTCGGTTGTAGAAAAAGCTTCTTATATTCGTTAGCATAGCTAGATAACCAGATGCTAATAACAACAAAGTTATTGACTGTATGATCAGTATGACAGATCGCCACTGGGCTTACAACTAAGACACAGCCACGCAAAAACTGCAGCATGTGTACGGCTCCTTAAGGGTACTGCAATTTTTGGAAGTGCCGGAGCGGAGCGGCGTTCTGGTGCTCCCCGTCAGAACTACACCCCTGTCAAACGAGACTTATACCACGTGATGACACGTTAGGCTTGTGTTGTGTTCAAGGACCCTGACCTTGGCCAGGAAAAACAGGCACTCACTTGTTTAATTATTTTGCGGTCTAGATTTCTTAAATGTTTTCCCGAGCAAACTCATGTCTAGCTCCGTTGTTTAGCTCGGTAGCATACACGCTAGGAACGCCAGCTATAATGTAATTACGTTTCCCGACTGACCGTACGGTAAATCACCTGGAGTATACTGTCTATGAGTATGTTGTGTGTGAATGCAGACATTCTCCATGTTTTGTGAAGCTATGCTCTGTGAAATGCCGCGCACACAGTAAAATACCGCCTCGAACATCTGAAGGAACAGTGTTAAAAATGTTAACCACTGACTTCGTCGTGGTTCTGCCCTCGGTAAAGCATGCATTGAACATTTCCCCTCACAAGACAGGAAACAGACCCTCTTTGGCATGACTAGATACAGTTTTGAACTGATACTGAGATTCCAACAGTATGCTAGGCTGGCAGAGGGTGCGGCCATAGCTCTGGGCGTGGCTACTGGGTGCTTCTACGACACAGCACCCAGGAAGTAAACAATGGAAAATGATGTTTCACCAACGAGGCGTTTTGGGGAGGTATTTTCTGTTTTCGAGTTTTACTCGCTACAGGGTGTACTTTGAGGGTTTTGACTCTGCAGACCGTTTACATGCATAAAAACCTTCATAACACACAAGGGGACGGGTAATAACCGGAAAAGCATGACATGTGTCCTTTAAGTTTTGATCCTTGAAGGGGGTGGAACGTTTTTTTTACCGCCATTACATGATATGCAAATTAGGCGATGACCTCATTTAGGGACTTCTGGTGACTTTTCGGACAGCCAATAGCTACTTTCCTTACTATAGAGTTGGCAACACTGCATACAGTGTTGCCAACTTGGCGATTTTCTCGTTAAATTTGGCGGATTTCCAAACCCTCCGGCGACTTATTTGTGTCAAAAGCGACTAACGACTAATCTAGCGATTTATAATGGTGTTATTAGCGACTTTTCTGGTGTTTGGAGACTCACATTGTTCTGCAGTTAACGAGCCGCGGGTGCTGCCGTGAGCCCCGCCTCCCTCCCATAGTACTCACAGGCGCTCAGACTGACAGTTGCCTGGCCGCAGCAGAGCTGCTGCTGCAGTCAGAGCAGAGAGGAGACAACCACACTCCCCCGCGTCGAGACTGCAAATGAATTGCGCATGCGCCAACTGCCAAGCCGTCCTGGTTTTGAGCGGGATTTAAATGTTGAATGTAAATGTTTCTTCACTCACTTTCACACTATACTAAATAACTGCCTTTGCTTTGCTTTGCCTCACACAGCCTCAGTCACTCAATCACCTCGTCCACTGTGTGTGTGCCTCTCTGTGACAAGCTAAACATCATGGCACAGTCTAAATTGTATTCTCAAAAATACAGAAAGGAGTGGGAATCAAACCCTGAGTATAAAGGATGGTTGAAGCCATTTATTGGAGATGACACACGGGCATACTGCCTTTATTGTAAGGGGGATTTCTATGCAAAACTGTCTGACATCAAGAAGCATGTTAAAACCCAAAAACATACTCAAAAGGCAAAGCCTTATGACAGTGCCACTCAAAGCAAGCTGCCATTATTTAAAACTAAAACAATTGACCCTGCAAAAAAGGCTGAAGCCATCATGGCTTTAGCTATGGCTGAACACTGTTCAATGCTGGCATGTGATCACATTGGGGAGGCATGTAAAGCTGCTTTCTCGGACTCCACTGCTGCTGAGCACTTCAAAATGCATCGGACAAAGTGCACCGAGATGATAAATGGTGTTCTAGCACCATACTTCCTGAAAAAGTTGGTCGCAGATGTGGGTGACCAGCGTTTCAGCCTCCTCCTTGATGAGTCCACTGATGTCAGTGTTTCTAAGTACCTGGGGGTTGTGATAAGGTACTTTAGTAACACAAAACAAACAATTGTCTCAACATTTCTGGGGCTTGTTCAGTTGGAGGGAGGAGATGCCAGATCTATAGCCCAAGCTCTTGTGGCTTTCCTGGAGAAGTGTTGTCTAAAAAAAGAGAAACTCCTGGGGATAGGGACTGATAATGCCTCAGTTATGACGGGGAATAAGAATGGGGTCCATAAAGTGCTGAAGGAGGAGTATGGCATCAAAGATCTGGTTCTTATTCGCTGTGTGTGTCATTCTCTGCAACTTGCTGTAACTCATGCTTCCAATGACACCCTCCCCCGTAGTGTGGAGTACTTGGTACGGGAGACCTATAACTGGTTTTCGGTGTCTCCAAAGCGCAGGGACGCCTATAAGGCCATATATGAGACCATCAACTGTGGGGAGCAGCCCTTCCAAATAACCAAGGTGTGTGCGACACGTTGGCTCTCCATTGAACCAGCGGTTACACGCATTTTGGACCAGTGGGAGGCGCTTAAACTGCATTTTGCAGTCACCAAGTCCAGTGAACACTGTTACATGGCTGAGGTTTTACACTCCATGTACAGTGATCCTCAGAACATTTTGTACCTCACTTTTTTGAAGTCGGTGCTGGGTGAGGTGCAGTTGGCGATCAAGGCTTTTGAGGGAGAGCAGGTGGATCCTTTGAAGCTACTTGACAGCTTGGTTAGCCTGATCAAGTCTGTGAGTAGCAGGGTGCTGAATCCACTTGCCAATATTGATGTTCTCAAAGAGCCAATTGATGGATACATCAGTCCCTCACCGTACCTTGGTTACCTTTTTGAGACCAAGGCAGCTGAGCTCCTTCTTGCGCCTGAGGAGAAGAACCAGGTCCGAAAGCGGTGTGTAGCCTTCACCATCTCCCTCACTCACGGGTTGAGGTTGAGACTGCCAGACAATATTGAGGCATTGCAGTACATGTTCGTTTTCAATGTAGAGAAAACTCTAAACCACAGTAAGAGCCTGGGAGAAATCGAAAAAAATAGCCAAGCTCCTTGGCTACTCTCCTGCAGATATAGACAAGATTGTCCAGCAGTGGCGTTCCATCCATCTGAGAAAGTGGAATGAAACAAAGAACACATTGGGCTTCTGGGTTGAGGTTTGGAAGTTCAGGGATGCAGCTGATAACAATCCATTTCATGAACTTACCATGGCTGCTGTGTCTGTGCTGTCCTTGCCACACTCGAATGCTGAAGTCGAGAGACTATTCAGCCAGATGAGTGTGGTAAAAAGCAAACTCAGAAACCGGATGTCCTTGCAGACCCTGAACTCCGTCCTTTATGTCCGATATGGTCTGAAGCTGTCTGGTGATGCTTGCTATGAGCACAAGCTGCCTGATGACGTTTTGCAGCTTTTTGGCACATCATCTGCTTACTCATTTAAGTCAGCTCCCTCAGTTGCTGAACCTGCCATAGAACACCTTGACCAAAATGATGACATGCTCTTTCTGTGAGCCAGCACAGTGTGAGTGGAGGGGGTCTGAAAAAAACCAACAACAAATGTTCAAGTTTTAGTGTATTGTAGGCTCCTAAGTGGAGCATATGGTTAGTAAACCCCAAAGAAAACTCTTTACATTTTTTTTAAAAAACGTTATAGTAATGGCAAAAATGTTCATGTTTTTCTCTGACTTGTTTCTCACTTAGGCACCTAAGTGGGGCATATGGTTTGTAAACCCCAAATAAAACTTTAAAAAAACGTAAGTAAAAAAAAAATGTAATAGTAATGGCAAAAGTGTTCATGTCTTTCTCTGACTTGTTTTATGCTCTTAAGTGGAGCATATGGTTAGAAAGTAAACCAAACTTAAGAAAACCCACACAAAAAAACTATAAAAGAAAAAAAAAATGAAAAAAACTTAAGTAACTCTGCCAGAGTGTCTCTTTTGGGTCACTTTGCCGGTCCCAAGCCCGGATAAAAGAAGAGGGTTGGATGTATAGCTAGCAATTCCACCATTGAATATTCTAGCATTTAACATTGGAACAAATGTGATTTATGTAATGCGGGTCAAGACAAACCATTAAAGTAATTAAATAATTGTTGAGATTAGGCGTATTTCAATGGCAAAAACAAAATAAAGATATAAAAAGAATCAACAGAAGAAAGGTAATTTGTAGTCCTAAACATGTTTTAAAAAAGAAAAGAGTACGAGCAAGAATTCTGAGTTATGTTCTGCTTAAGACGGGGAAGCAAAAAAGTAATTTTACCTTGCAGAATAGAGACATTTCTGATCTACTGTCGTCTAGATTTAACTCGGGTGGTTTCAAGTTTTGATCCCTGAAGAGTTGGGAACGTTTTTTGTATTCCCCTCTACCATGCTCTCTCCTACAGCCGCCATTACATGATATGCAAATTAGGCGATGACGTCATTTAGCGACTTCTGGCGACTTTTCGGACAGCCAATAGGCTAGCTACTTTCCTTACTATGGAGTTGGCAACACTGACTGCATAGTGGACGGGCCACATTCTCCACCCACATTCCTGTGGTTACATCACACACACACACACACACACACACACACACACACACACAAAACTGTGTTGTGTGAACCACTGTTCATCTTCAAGGAGGACGCAAGGATGGAGTCAACTGAGGGTTTCGTGAAGTATCAGTTGGGCTTACCCCACATGCACCACTTGATCGCGGTGCTCTGTGTTGTTGCCGTTGTTTATAAGTTGACAATCTTGCTCGCCCAAAGAAGAGCTGCGAAGCAAAGTATGGAATTGTTTCCAGGACCACCGTCGCACTGGCTCTTTGGACATCTAAAGGAGGTAACGTACGATGACTGCTCAGTGACGCAGAAGCAAGTGCAAGAAACAAGTAATAATAATAATGTATTATTAATGTAGGAGAAATACCACCTATAACAAAAGTCAGAGTCAGATTGTTTTGAGTTCATATACAAAATACTTGACTGAGCTCCTTGTAGTTTCTGGCATACAATGTATTTCTTATTGAAGTAGGGGAGACCTTTGACAGTTGCAACACTCTGTGCATTTCTCTCAGTTAATCAATGTGTTTGCTAACCACCAGTACCATTTTAAGATGATTAAATGTGACATATAATGTGTTTATTTGCATGGGAGAATAGTAATTTCAGCAGCAGATGTAGAATGTGTCTTCCTGTCCTCACTCTAGCATGTTTCTGATCAGAGGAATAAGAATGAATGCAACCACTGCAAGTCCACTGAGACAAATGTAACATTTGTGATATTGGGCTATAGAAATAAACATTGATTGATTGATTGATTGATTGATGAACCGTCCCTTTTTGCAGCGTCCCCAGTGTTGCAACTGTCAAAGGTCATCCCCAGTCTCATCATGTGCCAACAGACTCAGATTTGCAAAAAGAAAAGCCTGCGAAAAAAGGAAATTCAAAGCGTATTCATATGTTATTATTATTGGTGTTATTTAATTTGGGTTGTCCCTGATTTGAACTTCTTTACATTTATTTAAGTAACAATTTGGATGCAATTAAGGCTTAAACTTAGCAGTTGAGTACTAGTTTATAGAGCATCACAACTCAGGGGATAACTTTGTCCTCTTCAGGCTCCAGCATATTGGTTAAGCTTAACCTATGTTTTTATGTTTTTACTTTCAGTTTAAACAGGATGGATCGGACTTGAAAAAGATTGTGAAATGGGGACAGCAGTACCCTTATGCTTTCCCGATGTGGTTTGGTCCCCTTGTTTGTTTCCTCAGCATTCACCATCCAGACTATGTGAAAACTATATTGGCATCTACAGGTGTGTGAGCCATTGTTTTATATCTTTACTGAAGTCATAAACCTTTACAATGTAGCTGTTAAGTTACATTTTTACAATGCTTTTTACTACGTCGTATACATGTAGACTCATATTGGTTTATTATCTGCATTTCAATAAACAAAGGTCAATGTAACATAATCTGCAATTGTTTGTTTCGTAACAGAGCCAAAAGATAATATGGCATATACTTTTGTTAAGCCTTGGATTGGTAAGATTGCTTTTACTTTCTCCTACAGCATATTTTGGCTTACTGCACAGTATTTCCTGTTAAGATGCTTGCCTCGCTGACACATACTGCCTCTGTCTTCAGGTGATGGCTTATTGGTGTCTGAAGGTCAGAAGTGGTTTCGCCACAGAAGGCTCTTGACCCCAGGTTTCCATTATGAAGTTTTGAAACCCTACGTAAATCTGATGTCAGACTCTGTTAAAACCATGCTGGTACGTTAATGACAGTCTTTTTGTTTATAAAATCAGTGTCTGTTTTTTTTGCCAAGTTGCATTTCACATATTGTACAAGGAAAATGCTTTTGTGTAAAGTGCTATAATAAGTAGTCAATTGTGAAGTGATGTGGAGGAAATATAGGCTTAGGCTTTCCAGATGCTGCAGCTATTTTGTGTCAAAGTTGTTCCAGCTAAGTGTGTTGAAGGTTTTTCCACGTCCTGCTGAGACCTCACATCTGTTCTTTCACTGTTGCCAGGACAAATGGGAGAGTTATGCAAAAACCAATGAGTCCTTTGAATTGTTTAACCACGTGAGCCTTATGACACTGGACAGCATCATGAAGTGTGCGTTCAGCTACAACAGCAACTGTCAGACCGAGAGGCGAGTCCATACAAACGTTTTCCCGCCATTCACAATTACAGGTTTATGTTCTCAGTTGTCTGAACTGTTTGTCTACGTTCTTATTTCAGCGGAACAAATGAATACATCAAGGCAGTCTATGAGCTCAGTAATTTGATTAACCTGCGGTTCAGGACGTTTCCATACCACAATGACCTCATTTTCTACCTCAGCCCACATGGCTTCAGACTAAGAAAAGCATGCAAGGTGGCTCACAGTCACACAGGTAAGATGTTCACAGATATTACCTTCATCATGACAATCTAAAACTGAATTTAGCTTGCCCATACATCGAAATTGTATAGGTTCTAAACTGTAGGTTTATGGTTGCTGCATTTGAAGAGTTACTGGGGATATGCTCATTCATTATTCTCTTATTTTGAAGGGGAAGTCATACGAAAGAGGAAAGAAGCACTCAAGGAGGAGAACGAGCTGGATCGCGTACAGGGAAAGAGAAACGTGGACTTTCTGGACATCCTTCTCTTAGCGAGAGTATGTTATGTCTTATGTGCCATGTATTGAATTCACAAAATGAGACACTTCTGATCAATGAAAAAAACAACATACGTAAAAACTGCAATTGTCAAAGCAGTAAGCTCTCTATAGAGATAATTAATTAATAATCGTGATCATTTTAGTAATGAGATATTTAAAGCATGAACAGTCTTAAGTTGCCGCACATTAAAAAAGCGTAGTTGTGTCATGTTTATAACCTGAGATGATGCAAATATTATACTGTATGTGCTTAACCTGCAAGGGGCAAAACACTAGGGCAAAAGGAAACGCAGAAGGTTTTTCGAATGAGCATTGATATGCTGAGCATGAGGCCACTGGTACAAAGGCAACAGTCTGGTTATTTTACTCTTATGAGGGACTCTTGAGCAGCAACGTAAAAGTTATACATTCCTGTACATGTAATCAATATATATAATAAGCGAATCAAGGACACCTCTGTAACTCAGTAACTAACATGGCAATGATTCCTTTCTTTCCAAACAGAGTTGATCTGTAAAAGGAGCCAACAGACATTAGCTGTTTCTGTGCCAATTCCAATAGGCCTACAATTTGTACGGTTTTTAATTGGAGTAGTAGTGTCACATTAAGACATATGTTGATTACTCATGTTTTAAGTTTGCCTTTTATTTAAGGATGAGAACAAACAGGGTATGTCAGATGAAGATATACAAGCAGAAGTGGACACCTTCATGTTTGAGGGCCATGACACTACAGCCAGTGCCATGTCCTTCATCCTCTACTCTCTGGCCTGCCACCCAGAGTACCAGAAGATGTGCCGGGATGAGGTCCTTCAAGCCCTGGATGGCAAGGACACCATGGAGTGGTAGGCTTACATTTGAAAACAATGCAAATGTATCTCAGTGCTGCCAATTGTTGAACTAACACTTGTCTGTTTACTTTTTAGGGAGGATCTCAGTAAAATTCCATACACTACAATGTTCATAAAAGAGTCCCTCCGCCTTTACCCTCCGGTACCAGGAATGTCCAGAATCACCACCAAGACCATTACGTTTTTTGATGGAAGAACTTTGCCTGCAGGTTTGGCTTTAATGGTTATTTGCAGATGAATGTGAATAAAACACCATACAGTTGCATGCATCAAACGTGTATACCCTTTGGTAAAGGTTAACTTTTTAGTTAAGGATTAACAGTTATTTTTATTGAGTCAAGCTTGCACAAATGAACCTGTTAACCTTCATGGTTTGAATTATAGCAGCAGGTTTGCAAAATTGTCTCAAACATAATATATGAATTGTTTTCCCCTGCACAATCTCATTACAAATACATTTTTGTTTTGCTCTTATTTGTAGGGAGTCATATTGGAACAAGTGTGTATTCGCTTCACAGGAATGCAACTGTCTGGGAAAACCCTGAAGTAAGTAAAGAAGATCATTCTGTGGAAGCATTTTTAAATGTGTAAGCTCACATGTGCCCATAAAAGTAAACCTATGCTACTTGTACATAAAATGTTTTTAAATCATTTTTTTCATTTTCATTTAATCGTTTATTTGAATAGGGACAATGCACATTAATGAACACTTTAGACAAATAATGCTTCAAGTGTAAATATGCCAGATTTTAGCTTTGAGCTAATTTCCATCCATAGTCCCTGACATACAAGATATAAGAACATGACATTTGTAAACATAGCAACAAATAAATACATGATATGCAAAAGAGCAAGAGCAGCACACACAAGTATTTACCACATGGCAGTATACTATAGCAGCAACGACATATTAAAGGTGGGGTAGGTACGTTTGAGAAACCGGCTCGAGATACACTTTTTGTTATATTCCACGGAATGCTCTTAACATCCCGATAGCAATGAATATCTGAAATGCTTTGACAAGAAATCCATAAAGAAATGTCATCTGTGGAAGCCGTGGTACTGTAAAAAGCACGACCAATCATTTTAGCCGGCCCGGCTAAAGTAACTGGATGGCCTACCTGCCTGTCAGCCTTCCATCTGTGCACAAACTGATCTCGTGCCCTCATTGGTCATTGGCGTGTTCGTGTGTGTTGGAGGAGAGGCTCTGTGAGGAAGTGGCAGATTTTTTCCAGTTGTGTATTTTCAAATTCTAGCGCACTCGAGCTGGTTTCTCCAAAATTACCTACCCCACTTTTAAGTGCAAGAGATTGTGATTAATGCCACACTGGTGTTTGTTTTTCCATCTTGTGTCAACCCAGGTCTTTGACCCACTGCGTTTTCTCCCGGAGAATGTTTCCAAGAGGTCTCCTCACGCATTCGTGCCCTTCTCTGCTGGGCCAAGGTTTGTCCTCATATGATACCGTGTGACTAGCTCACTAAAAATATGGCTACAGCTAAGTTTACATTACAATACAATAGCCCTGCAGTAAAAACACATTTGGCAAACACGAAAGGCTTACTGAAAGGCTGTTGCCATATCTTCTTGTCCAACCTATTCCAATATTATGTAAATCAAAAATATATATATCATTTGGTATTGACTGTTCATCTGATTTACATAACCTTAAGTGCTGTCTTCCTATATGATGTTACTTTAAAGCTTAATTTGTCCCCATATTCCTCTCATTGGTGCTGTTTTCCTCTCTCAGAAACTGCATTGGTCAGAACTTTGCCATGAACGAGCTGAAAGTGTCAACAGCGCTGACACTGAAGAGATACCATCTGATCGAGGACCCGACGCAAACACCACAGATAGTTCCTCGACTGGTGCTTCGTTCACTTAATGGCCTCCACATCAAAATAAAACCTGTAGACCCATGAGTGAAAATGGAAATAACTGTTGAAAAAAAACCTGGGAAATAAATGACTCATAAGGGAACTTCTTCTATGATTTGACTCAACTTTTAAACTAACAAATAATCACAAACAGATACTAATGAAGTGATTAACTGTTAAGTATTTTATCAAGTGTCTAATGATTATTTACACTGGAACCTGTGTTAATGAGACATTTATCGCACTTTACATATAAAAGGAAGATGACTTTTGTGATCGTCAAAAGGAAAACCTAAGTAACATTTTTGTTTCACCATTTATAAATGCATCTCAACTGGTTTAGCTAAGCTTTGTACAGAGCACCTTGGCATTATGTAAATGTGTTCATGGAAGTGTTAGTGTGACCTTTAACAGGTCAGAGGCACTCTTATTGACATTGCACCCTTGTGCAACATTTCAGTTGATGTAATGTGGTGTAATCGTTCACATTGAATCATTACGTTTTCAAAATCAGCCATGTATTTTGATTCTTTAACTTTCCCGACTCCTCACGTTAAATATTTTTATAATAAAGCACTTTTTCCATTCCATTCATTCTCCATTTTTTTTAATCAAAAAGCAGGATAAATAAAACATTTGAAATGTGTAAAGAATTCATTGTTATACACATTGGATTCTTTAAATTATTTTATTGTTAATAAATAAAATGTTTTATTTTATGCTTTATTATTTATGGAAAGTAGCTGTCAGTAAAAAAAACAGAGAAAGCTATTCAGGCTTTTAGGGTTACATTTTGGCTTGGTGGAAGACTTGATAGCCATAAGGTGTAAACATTATCTTACGGAGCTTTTAAAATGCGTGTTTTCTTAATGGAATCGGATCGATCAGGCTAAACTAACCTGTAGCTGATCCGTCCACGCTCACAACAACGTCATACAGACATAAATAAAGCAGCGACTGTATTCACCATGACATAGACAGTCTGTGTTTTGTATGTGTTTAACTTTTGTCCCGTTTCTGAACAGATATCAGGAGCTGTGAGCTCTGAGTGTGTGCTAACAGCTAACGGCTGATGTGTTGGGCCAATCACGAAGCGTCATTTCTTGACTGGCAGCAAAAACAACCAATCACAGCAGTGCTTCTCTGGCTGGCTCTGTCCAATCACAAACAAGAAGTGTTCTCCCTAAGGAATACCCTTTCCGTCCAATGTGAAATGCTGTGGCGTTTTGTGAAATGCTGTTGTGTTTTGTGAAATGCTGTTGTGTTTTGTGAAATGCTGTTGTGTTTTGTGAAATGCTGTTGTGTTTTGTGAAATGCTGTTGTGTTTTGTGAAATGCTGTAGCGTTTTCTGAAATGCTGTGGCGTTTTGTGAAATGCTGTTGTGTTTTGTGAAATGCTGTGGTGTTTTCTGAAATGCTGTAGTGTCTTGCACTTCAGGGCCACCGTAGATATAGGCCTAAAGTATGAAAACGGTAAGCAGTGCAAGTATAGTATAAAATATATAGATATTAATTTCATGATGATAAACATTGTGGAACAATGATGAAAAATGGGAATGGATGTGGCGACGTAAAACTGACACAAAACAACAACAAACTTTTGCCGAGCCAATTGGAGAGTTTCATCAGCAGCACGGGGTAAAAACCACCAATGAGCGCTCAGCTGGAGTCGTTTCCCATCAAGCATTTCGCTTCCGCAGCCCGTGGAGAGGAACTGCGCCGCCTCGCCGCGCCTCGCTCTCAAGGCAATATGGTCTAGCTGCGGCCGCGGCCAGTACACGGCGGTGTCGGTACCAGATATGTTGAGAAGGGTCTAGCTGCGGCCGCGGCCAGTACACGATGGTACACGACACGCCCACCTGACACGACACTACGGTGGCTGAGAAGGGTCTAGCTGCGGCCGCGAAAAGTTGTACTTCCAAATATGGTCAGAAGAGAGCACGCCCAACACGTGAGGTTTACAGACAACAAACAACATGGCGCACCGAGTACAGGTACTTAACGTATTGTGGTTTTAGATATAATTTAGGGCCGGGACTCGATTAAAAAAATTTATCTAATTAATTAGAGGCTTTGTAATTAATTAATCGAAATTAATCGCATTTTTAATCACATATAAATATTTGACCTGAGAACAGTGAGAAGCAATTTTTTTCACATGGATTTTAGTATACCATTAGGCGCATTCACACCGCAGTACTTTTCCCACAAAGGTTCATGAGAACTCTTTGAACCTGGGGGTGGATTAGGCAAATGAAGCCGCTGACGTCACTTCTTCTTCTTCTGCTTTGGGTTTACTGGCAGGCCGCAAACCACTTCACGGCGTATACTGCCGCCCAAAGTCCCCGGCCGGAAGTCCCCGGAGTTGGGGACTGGCTTCAGTAGAAGCTGCTGGGAGTCCCAGCAGCTTCTACTGAAGCCTTCCGAGTAAATCGCCAGAACGCCGACACCTCCTCATCTCCACCGCTCCCATGTTTTATTTTGTGTTGCCATAAGTTAGTCTCTCTGCGTTTCTGCGCTGGGCTAATGCTAATAATGCTAATGCGAGGATAATAAAATGGCGGCTTCACAAAACTTTTTGGGAGTTTTACGGGGCGTGGTTTGCAATCCGCCCAGCCAATCAGACATATAGCTCTTTTCTCACAAGAGAGCCGCACGAAAGTCCCTGCTCTCTAGCAGGGACTTTCGTACGGGTAAAAAGGTTCTCATGAACTAATTTGAGTACCGGCTCTTTTTGGTGTGAACGCGATAAAAGAGGCTAACGTCCACGCTAGCTTCCACGCTAGCTGCTATATGTTTTGCATTGAGGTGATACTTGAGGCTTGATATGCTGCGGTGATATGCGAATTCCTTTTTGCATAATTTGCACACAACCGTGCTCTTATCGACGCTTCCATCCGTCCGTTTTTTTAAAACAACATTTCCCACTGTTGTTCACTGTGGTTTGTTGTTGTCTGAAGTCATGAACGTTAGTTGGTGCTCCAGTATAATCGGTACGCCTGAAACTCATCCAGTGAGAAACGTTCCGCGGTGCAAAAATAAGTGCGATTAAAATGCATTAATTTTTTTAACGCGTTCATTTTTGTGTAATTAATTAATCCTAATTAACGCGTTAAAGTCCCGGCCCTAATATAATTACATACTATTTAGGTTCTCGTTTGTTTGTCGATGTGGCTGTTTAGCGCAGTGTGATTGTGTTTATTTTGTTATATATATTATATATCTTAGCTTGACATGCTCGACGTTCAGTTAACTTAGCATATATGCTAACTGAACATGCATGTACTCTAATTTTTACAAGAATCTGATTTTATGTAAGTTTTAAATATTAATTGAAGATGTCTTTCACATTTGAATGTTTTTTATTTACAACGTGTATTAGCTGCTATACTGTAGACACGTAAATATGTATAATTATTATTTTAAGTGTGGTTTAAAGTTAAATGGTATTATTGGGTAGAGCCAAGTAACCCAGGTGGATGCAATCAGGTAATTAGGACAGAGCCTCTGTTTTTAGATGGGGTTTATGCTGTAGGCCTGACATTTAAACTAGCTGAAGGGCTTTCTGTTCGAACCACAGTGAAATCTAGAGGTTGTTTTGTGCATTAAAGGGTTATACCTTCTGAAAGTGAGGAAGTATGACCAGCTTTGTCCCATAGGATTATACAGGCCAGTCCATTGCTGCTTGTTTAAGGAGTTAACTATTTCCAATATTAAAGTCACTTAAATTGTATTCTATTTTATTCACCTATAGACAAACAACACAACACTCCGTGATGGAGCACGCCCAGAGCTCAACAAATTGGACTCGGACACCTTCCAGTGTCCATTTTGTGAAAGGACCGGGTCACACCCAGCCGTCACGTGTACATTATGTCTTGCATGTGCTAATAAAATTCTCATTACAGTATGCCTGGTATTTTGCCATGGAGGCCAGCTTTGACTTCAGCATTGTAAGTATTAAAGGGATAGTGGAAATCCGCAAATTTTGGGTTTAACTTATGTATTTTTATTAAAAATAAGCATAATAAACAATTTTTTTTAATTTCATGCGCCTAGTTTCATTTTATTTTCAATTTTACTGCGCCCTCTCAATGAAACAAAATACTTCGGGAATCGTCGGGAATCTTCGGGTGATGACGAGAGCATAGGAAGACGGGCACAAACAATGGCGGACATTCAATAGCATTTGCATGTGAATAGCCGACCTTTATTATGGTGAATAGATGTGTTTTGTATGGCTCTAGTGCGACAGCAAATGCAGAGAATGGCGTATCGACGCATGCGTTTCCAAGAAACCCAGCCATTCGTCGTCAGTGGGTGAAATTTGTTCAGATAACACGGGCAAACTTCACGGAGCCGAAGCTGACAAGTAATTCGGCAGTCATGTGCTCCCGTCATTTTACTGACGATTGTTTCGAGATTCCTCGGTCTCTAGCTCAAATTGAAAGTGGAATACATAAGAAGTGAGTATTTTATTATGTTTTCTTGTTGATTTAATGCATCATTAGCCTGTACCATTTTGTACAACGCCATTTATCCGGTACACAGTGTTGAATGTGTACACTACAGTCATCATATAGACATGATAGACTAACAGTACTGTGAGTACAGCCTACACTTGACAGGCAGCCTGGCTATCCTAGGATGTTGTTTACTTTCTCTTTTCTGGCTGATAGCTCCAGGAATTCGAGGTCTTACAGTGATGACATTACATGTGTGGAATCTGTGGACTCTCAGCTTTAAATCGTATATCTTGTTTGTGCAGTTAAGATAGTAATACGGGCATTTCTACCGCGTGTTGTGTGTAAAAAAGCGTTAGCATTAGTTAGCATTGTTTCGCTCAATGCTAATTCAAAGGCTTGGTATTACTCTTGTGTTTTTTCTAGCTAACAATTGTTCTTATTGTCAGTTAGCGGAATTTCTTACCTTTTAAAAGGGTATGAAACATTAATAGTTTCATAAATGTTAATAAGCCCTGAGACATGTGAGAGAAAAAAAACTGTGGGAGGGGTCCACTGGGGCGACCTTCGGCCTTAACTTGTTAACGATGATTAATATTTGTAAAGGCTACAGGTGATCTTAAGATGCGTGAGCTATGCTTAGGGACCTACCAGTCAAGATTATTTGTGCGTAGGGGTGCATCATCTGGCGCCTGGTCCTGGTCATCCTCGCCATTGCCCATGCCGTGAACCATCACCTCGGGCTCGGGCTCGAACAAATAAGGACGTAATGGTCCATCGTCTGGCTCAATATTGTCACCATCGTCGCTTACTGAACCGGATTCAGATTCAGTTCCTAAAACGACATTTTCGTATAAGCCGAGAGGATGTTTCTGACTCGCTATCATCACTGGATACCTCGTACAATCCTTCTTCTTTGTCTGGTATATTTGCCCTTCCACGTTCATTCTGCATAGACGCCATGGTTTGTTATCGTATCGTCTTCCTGAGTTTTCGTCACTTCCGGTTTGGCTGAGTCGAACATTTCGTTTCTAAAAAACTTCGGGGAAGCTGCAATAAAGTGCTTCTAACATGCGTAAGGCAATTATTATATATTTTTAATCAGGTGTGATTGTTTTGGTACGTAAT